CCCCCCCCCCCCCCATAAGACGTTCCTAAATACGCCCTTGATTATAATTGAGTCTTCATCGATATTATTAGAATATGAAATATTGACCAAAAAATAACATTTTTTGAAAATATCTTTTTTTTATCTAGATAAAAATGAAATTATCTTTTATCTTTATCTAAATATTTTAATTTTTTTTTATCTATTATCTTTAGATGAATTTGGACATATTATCTTTCATCTTTATCTAGATAAATTTTGCATTATCTATTCCCAACACTGAGTGTGGATCATAGATTCGTGAAGTGTGTACCTATTAAATACTAATAAATAAGACTACTATGAAGGTATTTTTCAGGAAGCCAGTTTAAGCAGGACATCTGATAAGGACTTAAATAAATCTATTCAATTTTTAATTATACATTCCACATTAAAATAAATAATGTGTTAATAGTTTTCAGATTTATTCCAGATATAAGTATATTTTCACTTAAATAAATAACAGATTGGTAGTTATCTAATTATAATGTGCAGTTTAGTTACCTAATAAAAAAAATTATTACTGACATTGTACTAACAATTGTAATCATATGGAAGTTGGATAGAAGAGGGCTCTGTAATTTTAGATTAAAAAATGTGTATTATGAATTTTTATGAAGAATAGGGGCTGACATATATATTTATTTTATTTTTTGATACATTTTTACAAAACAACACCTTAAATTATTATTAAATGCTTTTTATATAAATAAGTATAATATATATAATCATTACAATTAGCTCTAACTAATATGCTACACTTAAAGTTTTGTCAAAACTGAACCATATTTCAATAATGTATTTTTGTTCGTTCTCAGCCTTGGTAGGTATTATGTTATCTTGTATAATTATATAAATTATGTATTTTTAACAGTTACTCTTAGAATAATTGTTATTATTGTATAATTTATCTTTATTTTTAGTCTAAGAGGCTTATCTGTAAATGAAGTGAATATTGTACCATCTTCTAATGACCAACAACCTGTTAATTATGATGCTGGTGCTGATTTATTGCATAAATATCAGACTGAATGGAACCAACTGCACTTATTAGCTGAAGACAATGCACATAAAGCTGAGGTTTAATATTATTTACAAAAATTAAAATGTAACTCTGAAATATGTTGATGTTGTTTTGTAGGAAGTAAATGAAATGATCAGCCTTTTACACCATCAAATGAGTGAACAGTGGAAAAAAATGGACACCATTACTTCTTGCATAAATGCAATGCCTCAGTTAGTGAAGAGTATTGAAAATGCTATTAATGACATGGGTAATTTATTATAAAATGCTCATAAAAGCCTTAGAACCTTTTTAATAAAATACATGGAATTTTAGAAAATATTAAAACCTTGATCAACGATGTAGAACATCAGTTATTAAAACTTGAGGATGTAGTTGAGGAGCAAGAACTACAAGAACAAATGTTAAATGAGCGGTTTCAATTGGCTGTTTACCGGTCAAGGAAATTAAAAGAATTAGAAAAAATTAGCGGTATATTAACAAAAATTTACATATTCTTAGTAATTAAAAAAAATTATATTTTTAGATGATTTAGAAGCTGAGCATAAAGAAAAAGTAGTAGATTTGGAACAAAAGATAAACATTAAACTCAAAGAAAGACAAGAAATTTTCAATCAAGTGTTCCAACAAGATATGCGACAATATATTATATCTGGTATTATTCCAGTGATGAAAAGTTCTGGTGATTATTTTGTCTATTATAGTGTTAAAATATAAAGTAACTCAAATTTTTATTTACAGGTAATAATGGACGTGATGAAGTTTCACTTGAAGATATAGAGATAGAGGACGATACAGATGCACTGAATGAACTTCTAAACTCTTGACGGTTTGTTTCAATTTTGAATGTGATTGTTTAAAGAATAATATATTTTTCTTTATGAATTTGTCTTCCAAGCTGTCAGTTAAGCTGTGATCTGTTGTTTGAATATTGTTGAAAAAAAATTATTATTGTATAATATTGATATATTTATTTTTAAAACTATGCAAAAGTATTGTATTTATGTATCACACTAATCAAAACGTATTAAAAATTAAATTACAACATTCCACTTTTTTACTCACTGGTTTTTAATATCTTTATACTTTTGTACTTTTGTTTCAATAGATCACCAATTCACTCCATACAGCACAAATAGAATATTTGTTAACTAATTTTAGTTAATTTAGTTTTTATTAATTACATCATTCATTTGTTGACATCATTACATCGTAAATACTGTTAGTCTGAATAAATTGTATTAAAAAATGGATAAAACTAAGTGTAAAAATTGAGAACTACTGCATGTCAGATTTTCTTGATTACAGTATCAGTATTTGTCCAAAATTCTTTCGTAACTATGTCACATAGTCTTTGTATGATTAGAAAGGATGTATAATATGTTAGTCTTATAATCTGTGAACTCTTTATAGTAGTGATTATAATTGCCAAAAGCTGTTTTAAAAATAGCATTGTCATCTCAAAGTTTCATTATTCTCTATTTACGAGAATATATTTATATATTAATTGTATATGATTCCAAAAGCTAAAAATAATTAAATAATAAGCTTTAATAAGCTAAAATTAATTAACATTAATTATATTGTTATAATAAAAATATCGTAAATCAATTTCAATAATTTAAGTTTTAATAATTTATAATATACAGTGTGTAAACGCTAACTGAGAACACACAATATCTTTGCGTAGAGACCTGCAATTTGAATTCTGATTTTTGTTGGTTTTTATGACATAAAAATGTGTATTTTTACGAGTTTTTAATTTTTTAACTTAAATAGACATGCTCAGTACAAATTATTTTTCTTAAATGGAAACCACCTATTTTAACCAGTAATTATTTTTCGCCTATTTTTTTATTTAATTTTGGTAGTTAAATCAACTTTGTAAGTCCAAAATTGACCAAGTTCCAGCAATTTAACCAAAAAACTGTAAAATGTGCATGATTTTAAATTTTTTCAACTGTAACTCTGAAAATAATTATTCTAGAATGTTAAGGCTTGACATTTTCACTTTTATTTATTAAAGTGATATTTACACGTTATTATAATTTTATCTACTGCATAATTTTCACTTTAATTTGGGTATGTATTATAACTTATAGCAGAAAAAACGTAAATAAGCAGGCATGTTGTTTATTTCGTGACATTTAATGGATCTATTGGAATTTATCGATAATTAACAATTAGTTTAATTTTTATTCAAGTTAAAAGTTTATTTATTGATTAATTTAATGTATAAATTGTTCAAATTGTTGTCCTCTGTGAAGAAAATATGATTCAGCGCGCCGCATGAATTCTTTATTTGTTGCAGCAGTAATTTCTTCATCAGTCAGTTGATTGCAATGATATTTATAATATTTTAAATATTGGAATATATTCGTTTCTATAGAAACGTAATCTAATATTTATCGTATTTTATCAAGCACTATAAAATTAAACATTAGGCACCTCCCTTAAAGTAAACGTTTATCTTTATGACAATTTGATACAAAATTAAATACGATGAAATGAACATGAAATGTTTACTTATACAAACTGATCATTTCGATATTTTTTATCGTCCAAACACGTATGTTACTCCGTGATCAGTATGAATCATTCTGAAAAAGTTGTTATGTTATTTATTTATTGGGAGTGTCAAAAAAATGCCCGTCGTGCAGCACAAACTTATGCTCATCGTTTCCCAAGTTAGTTTATTAATTTCTTTATGTTGCTTTAGATAATTTTTTAAGTTAGTTTCTTTGTTTTTGGTAATTACTTTAGATAGAGAACATCCTGCCCATAGTTTTATTCATAACTTAGAAAGGAATTTTATAACCTATGGTTCATTTTCTAAAAGGGTAGACAATCAACAACGAAGACGAAGTGATGCTTTAGGGGAAGAGTTTGAGGAACAACTATTAACCTATGTTAGAGTAAATCCCAGAGCTTCTACACGGCACGTTAGCAGAGAGTTAGGAATATATCATACCGCAGTTTGTATTAGTTTGTATAGTTTGTAAGATATTAAAAAAATATAAAATGCATCCATATCGACCTGATTTAGTTCAGAATTTACGTCAGAGTGATGCAGATCGTAAACTTAATTTTGTTGCGTGATTTATGACCGCTATAGATTAAAATCCATTTATTTTAAATTCAATATTATGGACCGATGAATCTAAGTTTACTAATAATCAGTGCTCGACATGAAGGGGGACGGAGTACCCCAACTAATTTTCAGAAATTTTAACGTCCTCCTACTATTATTACGCTATAATCATAACGCTCAGCCAGTTTTAGGGACGTTCTTTTTTTTTAAGTAAATAGAGTCCCCCTTCTTTAATTTTGCCAAGTCGAGCACTGCTAATAATGTTGTTATTAATAAACAAAATAACCGTTACTAGGACGATCAAAATCCACATTGGACATTTGAAACCAATAACCAAAGTGTTCGAGGAACTAATGTTTGGTGTGGTTTAATTGGTAGTAAGTTGCTTGATTCATTTTTTTATAATGGAACTCTCAACGGTAGACAATATTATAATTTTTTATTAAATAAATTACCGATGATGCTTGATTATACAGTAATCCCTCGTTATCCGCGGTTGGGTCCACGATAACATATTATTAATGCGATTGCGATAACATTTTACCGTTATTACACGAACACTGTAGAAATTTATTTTTGACAATAATTGTAGATAATTGTTGTTATATCGCCATAAGTATAACACATTGTACATACTTATACTTATTGCAGATAAACGACAAAAGGTTACCTACACATGCACGATTAATAATTGTCAATTGTTCAGTTGTAAGTTGATATTTGTGCGTGATACATGTAAAGCAGTGTTTAATAAATTTAGTAGTGAAAATATTTTTAAATGGCTTCTCAATGTATTCGTAAAATGTCAATAAAAAGTAGAAGAAATGTTTTATTACTCGTTCAAAAAATTGAAATTTTGGACAAATTAAAAAGTAGTGATACTGTAGCGTCCCTTGCTAGAATGTACAAAATGAATGAGTTCGAGAAATACGTAAAAATGAAGAAACAATACGATAGATAATAAATAAATTAGTTATAGGAATTAAAAAAAATTAAACCTAACCACCCTTTTTATATTAATTTATTGTCTCGTTATCCGCGCAGGTTTGCTGGAACGTAACTTTCACAGATAACGAGGGATTACTATATTTCTTTAGCTATAGGAGAAAATATTATTTTTTAACATGATGAATAAATTACTGCTGCAACAAAGAATGCAACAAGAATTCATGCGGCACGCTGAATCAAGTTTTGTTCACGGAGAACAACAATTTGAACAATTTATACGTTCAATTACTCAATAAATAAATAAACGTGTAACTTGAATAAAAATTAAACTAATTGTTAATTATCGATAAATTTCAATAGATCCATTAAATGTCACGAAATAAACAACATGCCTGCTTATTTACGTTTTTTCTGCTATAAGTTATAATACATACCCAAATTAAAGTGAAAATTATGCAGTAGATAAAATTATAATAACGTGTAAATATCACTTTAATAAATAAAAGTGAAAATGTCAAGCCTTAACATTCTAGAATAATTATTTTCAGAGTTACAGTTGAAAAAATTTAAAATCATGCACATTTTACAGTTTTTTGGTTAAATTGCTGGAACTTGGTCAATTTTGGACTTACAAAGTTGATTTAACTACCAAAATTAAATAAAAAAATAGGCGAAAAATAATTTGTACTGAGCATGTCTATTTAAGTTAAAAAATTAAAAACTCGTAAAAATACACATTTTTATGTCATAAAAACCAACAAAAATCAGAATTCAAATTGCAGGTCTCTACGCAAAGATATTGAATGTTCTCAATCATCGTTTACATACTGTATACAAATATATTTCAGTGAACAAATTTTCGGCCACCTTAAAAATTTGGCAACTCCAAAATGTTTGCGCCCGGGGTGGTTGTAACCATTTCCTCCCCTTAAATTTGGCCCTGATAATAATGTAGTATCTGTTAGGATATCTAATTTCAAAGTTAGATTTGTCAGAAACTGTAAATATTTCCTCAACGAATTATATAAATTAAACAACTTATATCTAATAATAAATAAGGTAATATAATACTTAATATAAAGTAAAAGTTTTTAGAGAATTGTATAAACAAATTAATATATTTTTTTTTAATGTTTTTTACTAGTAAAATTAATATGTATTTCCAGTTTTTCTTCAGTGAAGTTCTGGCGTTTATCTGTTAATATATTTTTAAATTTTGTGAGGTAATAGTTATTATTATACATTATTGGTCTTTTCCAGCAGTTTAGATACTAAAAATTAATTTTCTCAGAAAATGTATATTTATAATGCACTGAATTAAATTCACGTGTATCAGTAGTCTTGTCAACAACAGTATAAATTAAATGTTGTCCAATTTTTTGTTTAATTTTATTCATTGTTTTTTGGTAGTTTATATTAACGTTCTTTCACAATATTCTTTCATCTGGAATCGGCTGATTTATGTTTATATAATCATCACTCTGACAAAACTAATTATTTATAATAATCTATAATTTTGTATGTGATAATATATGTTAATAATCGATTCGTGTTCGTTTTAATTTTTTTTTTTGCATCATTTGTACCCCGAGCCTCAGACTAAAAAAGGTAAGAAAATATACTACGATTAAAAATAATACATGTTTATAGTATAAAAATATACAGTGTTGTTCAATTTAGAAAACACTGAATTTCTCGGCCGGATCACATTGGAATAAATTGATTTTTTTTTTTTTTACAAGCTGGTGGTATATAAATACACATTTATAGATACATTTCAAAATTTTTATCATTTAGATCTGCGTGTGTGCAGTAAAAATGTTTTTTTTTTTTTTTTAATAGGAACAACTATTTTAAACATTATATTCGGATAGGCCTATTTTTATTAAGTCTTTTGATGAATCAACTATGGTTCTAAATTCAACTCAATTAACAAGAGCCATTTCAATTTTAATAAATAAGTAATACATTTTTTTTTAATATACTTAAAAATGCATAAAACCGTTTATAATTATTTACTATTGATTACTTGATTAGTATTTTTACGTATTTTTTTTATAAGTATTATCATTGATTATAAATACTAGTATTTATAATCAATGGTATTATGAACAAGACTAACACAATGTTGGTATACAATTATTTATTAAAAATCGATTAGGTATAACAGTTATATCGAGATTTGAAATAATAAGATAATATTAATTAGCATAGTTAATCAGATAATTTAATACTAGATAATCATAAGTTATATTAATAATAATAATATCGTTTATTGCACATGAATATGAACTACTATTAGATGTATAAACCGATAAATGATAAATTATACCTAATTATTAATTCATAATTATTTTTAAATAGATAAATTATTAATTTTATATATTAAAATTTAGATAAAGTAAATCATTTTTGTTTTGGTTGTTATAATATGAGTAATTAGGTTAAAATGAACAACCGAGAAGAAATGCAAACGCTTTTAATTTATGGTAGACGCAATAGAAATTATTTTCAGTCAGTAAAAACATATACTGAACAATACCCAGATCGGTACCATCCACCACACCCGTTGTTTATCAAAATAGAAAAATTATTATTTAACCATGGAGCATTTTCTGTAAAAGTAGTTCATAACCAACAAATTAGACAAGATAATATTAATGACGATGTGGAACTTCAAATTTTAGCATACATTTGATTGAATCCACGATCTTCGGTTAGACATTTTGATAAAGAAACTGGAATATCGTTCGGCCTTGTACATAAAATTAAAAAGAAAAAAACCAATACGCATCCTTACAAACTTGAATTAGTTCAACATTTACGGCCTGCAGATCCAAAATGAAGGCTAAATTTCATTGCTTGTATACTCATTTAAATCGATACACAATCATTATTTTTTAAATCAGATATTATAGACTAATGAATCTAAATGCACGAACAATGGAGTTATTCATAAGCAAAACAATCGTTTACTGTCAATGCCCATCGGGCAGTGGATAACCATTACCAAACTGCGTGGGGTACAAATGTTTGGTGTGAACTTATTGATGGCAAATTATTCGGTCCGCGTTTCTACGAAGAAAAACTTATACGCAAGACGATATTTAGCATTTCCAACGAACGTTTTACCATAGATGTTAGAAAACGCACCGTTAGCTACACGTCGACCTTCCGTTTCCAGCACGACGGAGCTGCTGCTCATAATGCTCCATACCGTTCGAGATCATTTGAATCGGGTGTTTAAATTCGGCATAAAAATGTCGGATGATTTCGAAATTACCGCGCGCAGTAGTCTCGGAATTCTCCGCACCGTCCCGCGATCGTACCTGACGACCATTATTTTCGCATCACGAACGCGCGTGTACATAACAACTCGCATTAGGCGTGCACGTAATAACACTCGCACCGCGGTACGTTAATATTCGTCCAAGTTTTCGTCTCGCGATCGCCCGACACTGTCACCCGGCAGCGCAAACGTAAACCGATCGCGTGTTGACCAACCCCGTGCGCGAACAGCGACGATATGAGGGCGCGCGATCGCAACGATGGACCGCCGACGCGCCTCCGGGACCTGATACCGGGTAGCCGGTTGGCGACCATGCTAGGCGATCTCCGAGTTCCCGTGTCGGCTGTGTGCGACGGCGACGACACGTACGAGGTGAACGCAACGGTGTTGGGAACGGACCGCGCGGGCCGGTTCGACGCGACCGAGTCGCTGGAGCCGTGGATGTTACCGGAAACGGAGCTCGAGTTTCTCAGATGCGTCGCGGGACGGTGAGCACTAGGGCGGCCCTTATTTTTTGATATTCGATTTTTTTTCAGTCTTACCCCCTAAATTGGTTCAACAAATTAAATACTCAAAATTGCATGTCGATAGATTAAATTTAACCCGTGCCCCCAGCCCTCAAAGTTTAAACACATGGTTCTATTCAACTAACCAGTTTTTTTTTAAAAACGATTGATTGCTATCTCGTTGTTTTTTCTCTTACAAAAATACATCCTTGACATTATTTATAGTGAATTAAATTTTCAATAACTTTTATTCTATAAACATTTTTGATTAACGTATTATTTATTAATATAACTAATTATGAAACATGCGAGTTTTTAAGAAACGTAACAACTAAATAATATTATTACAAAATGACAAATGTGTTACATATAATACAGAATTACACTCTTACTTTTTATGAAAAAATAGCTTCATTGGTTCGAAAAAAACAAATTAAAAACTAGTAATTCCATTTGTTAACATTTATATTTTAAAGTGTACAAATAAAAACAATTATAATAGTTCTAAAACTGTGTTTTTTAAACCGTTCGGTGGAAATCTTCGATAACTTGAAGCACGTATTGTTTTTGATGTTCATTTTTTTGTTAAGACCATATTATGAGCTGCACATACGTTTTACTGAGAACGCGATCCCCACGTTTTACCGTTTTCCAGGTGGACCGGTTGTTTTTATTCGAACCGATGTCGATTTACTTGTACTCCATCTGCAGCCCGATGCCGCCGGCGAACTTTTGTCCGTATCATCAGCGCGGTGCGCTTTTTACACTGATTGGTCCGGCAGACAATTACCATCTTAAGTCGTGTATAAACACGATTTCATAATTACAATTATTACAGTATTGTCAGTTCATTTACCGTCCGAATTAGAAGCGAACAGCCGGATCCGTATTTAAGATTTTGCCGCCCGTTTTTTCCCTAAACCGCAAAACTGAAAACAGGTTTCTTCGACTGTGCACTGAAAAGCCGCTTACAATTTATTTTCCCCCATTCCAGTGCACTGTTACACAATATTCGTAATCAATATAAAACCTAAAATAATAACCGAGTTGCAATTACTCAAATAAAGTTATTGACAATTGTCTCGGCAATATGGTACCGAATTGGTTCTCGAGATCCAACCCCACGTGCCAAATTGGTTCTCGTTTAATTACGAACATTTTCTTTCTCAATTCTACAGACTTAGGACTGTAAACTTTAAAGTAGGCTTGGTCAACAATGTGCGTTAAAAAAAAAATGATAAAATGTTTACAATTTTAAATCGGAATTGGAAGTCAACTAGTCATCACTTAGGTGTACGAAATACAAGTAATAAAGTACAATAAATACAATTTAAAACCACTGATTTGCAAATTTGAAGCTAACTTTCTTTAAATATTCAATTATCGCAATCTTCTCATTAATGTACTCAGTCATGCAATTTTCCAAGTATTTGTTATTTCTTTCCTGTTTGCTAGTAATTTGCTAGTCTCTAGTAATCTACAGTCTATTATATTTCTATAATCTATCTTATCGATGTAATAATTGTCTATATGTCATACATAAAGCTTTTAAAATTTTGTTTTTTGCTTTATATGCACTGGCCCGCTGGATTTTAATTTTTAATAGTATAGGTAAATTGTGTTAAAAATTAAAATTGTCACTATTTTATCTGTACACAAACGGGAACCAATTGGGCTATACCTAAAATAACTTTTTTGATCGGGAACCTATTCGGCTATACCTAATAAAATTCCTTTTTCAAACGGGAACCAATTCGTTTACTCCCATTGTCTCTTATAAGACTAATTGGTGGTACCCTTAGGTCTGAATTTCTTATTCTATATAAATCAAAATTTAATCAATATGTATATTTCGATAAAATACTCTTAAATAGATATAAACTGTATACGCTACTAAATAATCGCAATGTAATCATTTTAACATTTATTTTTCATATAATTTTACCATTCATAAATAATTTTACATTGAGAATGCGAAAAAATCGATTTTTTTTTTATTTAGAACAACTGTAAAAGTTTTTCCGCCCTCTTAAATATTTCATCGAGACTATTACCTCCTCAAACCACTCCTTAAACACAACCCTGTGAATAACTATTATTTCCTTATACACAATTTAAGTTTCCCTTGTAGTGATGATGCCAATTACGTTGAAGATTTTATTTCAAATGCAGAGAAAAATCATTGGTTTGGCGAAAAGTGTTTATTTTTGGATTTAAATTCAGGCAAAACAATATTAAACAGACGAACTAAATTGGTGTTACACTGCAATCCCAGTAAGTTACTGATTTGATTGTAATTACCTTATACAGATATGCATATCGTCTACACTGCAAATTATTTGTTTTCACAAGAACCACAGGAAAAAACTTTAAATCACCGTGTTTTGAATGCATCTAAACCGTTAAAGAGAACGAATTATGTGTTGGAAGAACAAACAAAACCGTATAACGTCTATCTTAATGCAAACAATGTACCAACATATTCAGGTAAACCTATGAAGCCCAAAGTAAACAATTTTCAACGGAGTATACCATTAGCACGTGGTTAGGTATTATCTGTATAGTATTTTGGGTATTTATATTTTTGAAAAATATCAAACGCATTTACAGTTATCATGGCATCATCTGAACGGCACTGTTGTAATTATTTATTGTTATAGACTGTAATGGTAATAGTAATAATATCTCTTAGATTTTTCCAAGGCACCATAACAGTGCCGTAAAAATCATAGGAGCAGGCGGTGCACAGCACCGGGGCCCGCAGGGTCAAAGAGCCCATAGTAGATAGCTGTCAATTTTTTTTTTTTTAATTTGATTTAATTTGATTCATAATTATTGTATTATTATCTTGTATTTAATTTTATATAAAAAAATGTAAAAGTCTTGTCCGTTTTATTTGGAATTGTTTATCTAAATAGTGGGAAAAATACTAAGCCTATAGAGACATTAATAGATTACCTTTATATATATAATTTTATATTTTATTGTAAATCCTATTTACAAAATCAATAATCATATATTCATATTATATATATTATCTATCTTTGTAGTTAATTCTACAAGTTTTTTTATTAATAAAATCTACCCAATATACAATTGCGATCTTGTATACTTTGTAATAACCCAAAAATACAAAAATAAAATAAAGGGGGAAAGTGATAAATATAAATGGTGGGGTGATATATAAATGTGGGTGTTTATGATGCATTAAAAATTTGTTACCTTCCTCCTTGTTTAAGAGGGGGCTCTCTGGTTGTGAAAATTCGAGAGCCGTTCAGCGCAATTGTACAGTCTGCCAAGCTAAATAAAGCAGCACTTGCTTGTTTTACCGTAGATCTTTAGATATTGATATGAGGTTGAAAAAAAAGGACAAATACAAAATTTAAATTGCACTAGAACCAGATACTCTTCAACACTCGTACGAAGAACACAAGTCGAACGTATTAAAATCAAATAAATAAATAGTCAAATAAATCGCACGTATAAACTCTCTCGTTAATCTTATAATCGGTGCGCACGCACAGACGACCAAAGAAAAAGAGAGTTGCTTCGTTGATCTTACGATCGGTGTACATGCACTGACGACCTAAGATCAAGAGCTCCGGGATGGGTTGTATGTCCCTGTTATATAGGGACGTATGGTGGCATGGACCGTGGGTCGGTCCTTTGAAGATTAGACTTTATTGTTCGATCTGTGTTGCCCGTGCGGGTATCGAAGGAGCCTTTATTTATTTATTTAAAATGGTTTAAAATCATGTACATATGAATAGTATACATAATTATAAAATATTTGTGCCGTCTTTTACAATTGAATGATGCACATCATTACAAACTACCAAATTGAAGCTTTACACAGAATTATTTCAGTGAGAAAATTATCCATCGTTTCTTCAAAATTCGATACATCCACAAATACTATCCGATCTAAGGAGTAAAAAATTCCCATAGTGTGAAGTTAGTCAGACTTTTTTATGTATCTTAGGAAAGAGGGGCCCATGTACATTTGTCTGCACCTGGGTCTTTGACACTCTACTTACGGCAATGCACCATATCATTTATTTTATATGTTTTTACCTACAATTAGTTTTTTTCCCTCTTATTCACAACCCTTTTTTTTTCAGTAACCATTCCATATCATATAATTATATTGTTATATTTTTTAATAGCTATCTTTATTAATTAATAATATTTAATTATAACCTGTATATCCTATGATTGAAGTATAATATAAAAACGTAGTCCATGTGTGTCCCACAAATACACACACACACATAACGAAATTATATGGTTTCCTTTTAAACTACCTCACATTGTATACTGCGTTCAAAATATTACTGTTCAAATTATCTCTATTAAAAACATATTCAAATATAAAATTAAAATTTGTTTATTTTATATACTTCCAAAAAGTAATTTCGAAATGAATATTTTTTTATGTTAATTTTGTTAGCGTTCTGAGGATGAGTATGTATTGGCCAGAGGTGTATTTAGGGTGGGATGACGGAGGGGGGGGCAATTTCTCATGGGCGCCAAATGCTGAATCCCTTAAAAGGGCGCCGTCGCTAGGGGTTAAATTGCGTTCAAAGTGAAATTATAATAGAATAAAATAATTTTTATTTTTTAGATTTATTGAAAAATTAATAATTATATTATTGATAATGAATAAGTGATAACCTGTATAATAAATTGTTCATTATCATAAAGTTATTATTACACAGAGCTCGGCTATAATAGACAGGGGCGGAACTAGGGGGTAGAAGACGCGGATTCATTCCCGGGCGTACAATTTTAGAGGGTGTAATTTTTGTAATTATTGACAACTAATTTGATATTTTTTACTTTGTTAAATACTGTTATTAGGTTAAAACTCAATAAGTATGATTATACATTAATTATTAGAAAAAGTTCTTGAGTAAATTATTTGATTATTGGTCTATGATAGGGTGTAATTTTAACATTTTCCCCTGGCGTGAAAATTCCTATAAAAAAAATATATATTTATTTATTTTTTATAGTTTATAATTTATAAGTTAGATCTTTAATTGTGATACTGAGTAATATTATTCTACGGACAGATTCGTATTTTCTAGTCTATGTGTATATGCTGTTTACTTATTTGTGTGTTAATCACGATTTATGATAATTATTATTTATTAGTAAATGCGACATCATAATTATAAAAAATCTGTAAAGCTTAGAACTGTATATAATATGGTATATTAACAACATTTTGGAACGATATATTGGAAAAGTTCAAATGTATTAGTAAAAATCTGCAGTGTTCACATTGATTTAACAATAGTTGTGACTTTATATAATTCATTAATATATAATATTCAAGACTTACGAAGTAGTTTTGCATATTATGAAAAATTGGGTAAAGAAAAATCTAGTGTAGATAAGTACAAAATTGAAAGAAAAAGAAAAAGGAAAATGCTTTATGGAGAATCAAATCAAAATAATTTAACATTTCAACAAAGCGACTAATTTAGAATAAATACTTTTACAGTTATATTAGATTCATTACTTACAGAGCTACACAAAATAATGAAATCTTATGATAAAGTTAATATAATATTTGGTTTTTTTATTCGATCTTACTAAATTGCCAATATCCAAGGTCAAAGAACAAGCCATGCAATTGCAAGTAGAATATCAAGAGGCCCTCGGTTTTTCATTCTCCAATGAATGTATTCATTTTCGTAGCCATTTATCTGGATTAAAAGATAATAATTTGACGATAATTGTTTTAGACTTGTACAAAATATTTAAAGATTTTAATATTTCTAGTTTATATCCATATATTGAAATAGCATTACTATGTATGCTATTATGTAGTCCGGTATCAAATTGTTCAGCAGAACAATCCTTTAGTGCATTAAATATAATTAAATCCTGCTTAAGATCAACTATTGATAATGTCAGACTAAATTCATTATCTGTACAGAGTATTGAATCAGAAATCACCAGAAATGATACCAAATATAAAAAGTAACTGAAGAATTTTCTCTACAAAAAGCTTGTCGTAAAAATATATAATCGTAATTTAAAATCTTGTTTATTTTTATTTTCTTATTATAAACTTATTATAAACATATTACATTCCTTTATACATATATAATTAATGTTATTCCATTTTCATATAATGTGTAGAAAAAAAAGTAAAGGCTGAAAATATGTATAACGGGAATCATTTTTAATAGCAAAAAGTAAATTTATTATTAGAGGTGACTCAAAGCTATTTTGAGGCTAAACACCCTAGAGGGCACCAAAATGTTTGTACCTAGGGCGTCAAAGTCGTAAATACCCCTCTGGTATTGACATTGAATTATTTTAACTAAAAACAAATCAGTAAAATACAATAGATATAACCATGTAATTAAATTTTACAGTTAAACATTTTGAATATTTTAACCATTGATTATAAATACTAGTATTTATAATCAATTATTTTAACGTACCTACCCGATTCTTCATCGTTAGCTGTGTTACTTTCACATTTAAAATGTACAAAACACAAGTCATAATTCTGAAAATGTATCCAGCCCAGTTGGGTTGGCCGATATTATTATTACTTCAATAACATTTTATCAAATCGAACTTGAAATTTATTACTTCAGTTCAAGAAATCAAAAGTACGTTATCAGCACTGTATATTGTAATCTCAGAACTACCGTATTGATTGTAAGATTATGATTGGGAAACATTACGATTGTTATTGACCAGAGCAAGTGGGATTGGCGTAACACCTTTCGCCCAAAAATGAACTTCCTATTTTTTCTTGCGTACTCTTTTCGACCAAATTTGATCAAATAATTTCCTCTTTCCGTCTAAAAATATTTGCATTCTTTTAGCCCACGACCTCACGTTCGACAGTTTGGGAGACATTGTTTGGAAATTATTATAATAAAGCTATTTAGTACAACATGCTAGAGTAAAAGTGGAATAATAAGAGAACTCCCACAAGGAGACGGCTTCTATTACCTACTCTTTAAAAATGTATTGTGTTTGGGTACCCTAAAACAATTACTAACGCAATATTGGTAAGTATTAGTCATTAATTGCTACAATATCGTTAGGAAAATGTTCATATTTTTTCGCGATAACAATATTATCATGTGATTGATAAATCGAACTGAATGCTACAGACCTTATAAACTCATGCCGCGTTAACTCTATCAAACTGTTGGATTTTATCTTGGTTTTTTGTAGTTGATTTTCTCTTACTTTCTTGTTAAACGTATGCTATATAATTTGATATAAACATATGCATGTTGTACAACTAATGATATGGTTCGTTGTTTCCATGACCAATCAGATCATTGTTTTGTAGACAAAACATTTATTTTACGAAAACCGTACGCAGACGGTTATTTGAGTACGCGATTTTTGTACACTCGAGTTAACGTAGAATAAAGGTCTTTGCGAATAAACGTGTAACCATATCCGATTGATCACGCGGATTTACTGTTCCGCAGAAACTCCGGCCGATCAACGACGCAACGAAAACCGGCCGGCACCTGCAATGCATCCGCGACATCAGCAGCAGCAAAGCGGTATTTTCATCCCTGCGGTGCGCAGACCAGTGTTGGTGTACCGTCCCGTGGCCGTCGTGCCTTGCCTACCACCCGGTTTCGTGTGCCAGCAAAACGTGTGGACGGGCAACTTTTACCGACCGTTCCCGGTCCAGCGATTCCCGCAACCGCTGTCACTGCCGCCGCCACCGATGTACTTCACCTGGGGCCCGATCAACAATACCCAAGCACCGCCGTCAGTCGTCACCGCCCAACAGTAAGATCTGTATACGTATTAGTGTGCAACGGTATTTTTTTTTTTTTTTTTTTTTTTTTTGTTTGTTAATAATCTCCAAAACCACTCGTTCGATTGTCAAACGTTTTGTTTTTCAACGAACAAATTGTGTTGCGGAGAAGGTTTTACGCCCGATCTTAATCGTCCGGGTTAATCGAGTAATCATTCAAAACGCCTTCAATGTCCATCACGGTTTTCCCCCCCTCCCCCACGTTTCCGCCGCATTTGTATACAAATTACCTAATAAACACACAGACAGGTTTGCATTCTCTCACCGTCAATTTCCCTGTTGACTATCCGAATCCTTCGAACCCATCCGAACTTTCCCCATATTAGCTTAAGTTAAAGGTCGATATATTCCGAATGTGTTAACACGTGATTTGAATGCACCACGATATTGTGTGAAACGGCACAAAATAAAATCCTTTAAAACAGTACCTCCTGAGTGGAAGCTGACATTTTTACTGGCTACGCGAAAGGTGGTTTTGTTTATATTCCGAAAATTCTTACAATAACAACGTCTATATAACAATATCAACGATCTATATAAGTATCTTAGAAAATCTTCAGGCAGAAAATTACAATTTATTACACCGAATTAAATTATTTTGAATTAAAAATAACTATTCTGCTCCCTGATAAAATGTCTGATGAATAATATCTTAAATTCTTTACAAAAACTTATTTAATTTAATTAATTTAATTAAGAATAATAATTATTGAATCACTTTAAAAAATTAGACTTCCATGTTAAAAATAAAGACCTTGGAAATAATATCAATTATGTTCGTATGTTTTTGATTTATATATATAATTACATACAAATAATTTTAATTAATATCAACTTTAATCTGTGCTTCTGTGATCGTCAGTTACGATCGATCATCAATACATAATGAAAAATGGAATATTTTGTCATTGTATTATCAATAATTATGTACATTTATAAGTCAAGTGCGTAGAGTCAATATAAACACTAAATACATTTTTTTGACTTAGTATAATGCGAAATAACTTCTTCATATAAAATATTTCTATAATTGACTAACCTTAATTATGGTCATGCTTACGTGCCTGTACAATGATTAACTATGGATCATTGGAAAAAATTCAACCAGCAGTTATTATCATTATTGAGTCCATATAACAAAAAAAAATATTTAAATAAGATACAAATAATTTTATAAACATTTATCTAGATACAGATAAAAATAATAATAAAATAGATACAATTCGTTTTCCTGCATATCAATAACAAAAATTTTATTTTTTGATATTCAAAATAACTCTCTGTATCATCGGCCATTGGGTATTGTCATATTTAAATGTTATTTAATAACTTTGATGATACGATGAATTTGATTATAGATATTAATAATAATACTATAAACCTACCTACGTGGTATATTCTTTAAACTAATTTTATAAATCGCTATTCCAAGAATAGATTTAATAATTTTAAGAAATTCATAACGATTCAAAATTATTCATGGATATAAAATTGTATTAATTTAAAAAAGTTCAAATTTATCTAGATATATTTTTTTCATCTTAGTTAAACAACAGATTACTTAAACAAAATGTATCTAAATAAGATAAAATATAAGGGCGTAGCACGATTGGATACATATACTAATCATTAGAGTACGGATTTTGAAGGCATTTGCCTTTTTTTTCTATTGCTCTAAAACGAAGCTATGTCAGCTACAAATTCTATTTATACTGATATACTGCTATGCACGACATTTTATTTTGCTTTTTTTTTGCTTTTTTTGCGTTTTTTGAATATTTATGCTTTTTTGGGCATTTTTGGTACATTTTTCAAAATGTGTTCTAAATAAACGTATTTGAAACGTATTTTTTAATTTTTATTTTATTGTAAAATAATGTGTTTTCCAATATCGTATATTGTATATGGCTGGCTCAATCGATTTTATCTCGTTATGTTTGATTTATAGGTATGTTTATCGATGTAATTTAGATACGTATATAGCTTATTGAATATAGTAAATTATTTTATCTTGAAACGACAATAATTTGCTTTTGCTCTGGAAATTATCTACTCAGAATTACAGTTTAGTTTTCGTTGCAACACCGTATAGTTCGTTATTCTTACCGATAGTCACTTACAAAATGCCAAAAATTATTAATTGTAGTGCTCGTCTTCGCAATTTTGTAAAAGAATTTGGTGAAGACATTTTTTCTTGTGACAATGCTGTACTTTTTTGCAAAGTATGTGGTGTTAAAGTATCTGCCGAAAAAAAATATAATATTCAACAACATATCGCTAGAGGTAAACATATCCAGCAGCTAAATATTAGAAATCAACAAGAAAAACCAAAATCTCAGCTTCTAGTCACAGGTATGTCAATGAAGTCATCATTCAACGAAGAACTGTGTAATGTTTTTTTGTCCGCAAATATCCCTCTCACAAAATTAAATATACCAACATTTCGCGATTTTCTGCATAAACATACAAAACAAATTATTCCTAACGAGTCTACGCTTCGAAAAAACTATATAGATCAATGCTATACAAATACTATTATTAAAATTAGAGATTACGTCAGGAACAAAAATGTATGGGTGTCAATAGATGAGACTACTGACGTTGAGGGGCGATATGTAGCCAATGTTATAATTGGTACATTGGAAGTAGACAATCCTGGAAAAATATTCCTACTTAACTCAGAGGTGTTAGAAAAAGCCAATCACTCTACTATATCTAAATTATTTGACAGATCTCTTTTTATATTATGGCCTGAAGGCATACTTCATGACAACGTTTTACTTTTTGTGTCGGATGCAGCACCATATATGGTAAAATCAGGAAAATCTTTACAAGTTCTTTACTCAAAAATGGTGCATATAACTTGTTTGGCACATGGCCTACACAGAGTGGCAGAACAGATCAGAATAAATTTTCCAGAAATTAATAGTTTAATATCAAATATTAAAAAAGTTTTTTTAAAAGCTCCATACCGTATTAATTTGTTTAAGAATTTGGCTCCGGGTATTCCTCTACCTCCAGAACCAATTATTACTCGTTGGGGCACTTGGTTAAATGCCGTAAACTATTATTGTGAACATTTTCTACATATCAAAAATGTTATACTTCAATTGGACTCAGATGATGCACTGGCTATTAAAAACGCTAAAAAATTAGTCGAAAACCCAGAAATTGAAGAAAATTTAATCTACATAAAAAGTAATTTTGGATTTTTGGCTACTGAAATTACACGTTTAGAAACATCTGGGATGCTATTATCAGAATCCGTGTGTTGTATAGAAAAGGTTAAACAACAAATTAAACAAGCTTTGGGAAAAACGGGAGAAATGGTTACAAAAAAACTTGATGATGTACTAAACAAAAATTCGGGATTTAAAATTCTTACCATAATATCAAATATTCTAAAAGGCGAAAAAGTATTAAGAGAGGAACTTCCTGAAGACTTAACATGTGATGATTTAATCCATTACAAATTTGCTCCTATTACATCTGTTGACGTCGAACGTAGCTTTTCAAAATACAAGCATATATTGTCCGATCGTCGTAGAAAATTTTTATTTGAAAACTTGAAAAAAGTTTTGATTGTCCAATGCAACTCCGATGATATAGGTAAAAAAATCATTTAATAACTATTATTTAATTTATTTTTTATAAATTATCTTAAATAGAATAAATTCAATTTACAGATTAATAATTGTGGAAGAATGAAAACTCGAAGAAGCAGGGTTGTTAATAAGTTTATTATAATACCTTTTTTTTTAAATAATTTTAATACTTTTTTTGTGATAAATTTTTTTTAAAAACCTATTTTTAATGCTTTTTTTAAAGCTTTTTTGGAAGATTTAGACAGCTTTATTGCTTTTTTTTTAGTGCTTTATTTTAGTTTTTTATTGCTTTAAAATCCGTACTCTACTAATCATTTATCACAATAATACAGAAACGATTAACTATCTTCATAGGATACGGTTTGTGAAACTATAAATGTTTCAAGTTCAGACGTTCATGAAGTTCAGTTCCAATTTTGATTTCTAGTCGGCAATAGGTTTATTTTATTCTTTGTAATATTATAAACGTAAAAATTTCTTATGTTTTTGAAACCAGACATGGGAAAACGTGCGTCACGATTTACAATAATTTTTAATTTACTAATTTTAATTTATAAATTTAGTGAATTTAGAGAAAATAAAGATACAATTAAAGTCTTACGTTGCACAAATAAATAATTGTCTATAAATTGCGTTAACATTTTTATTAATATATAGTTTAATGTGTTATTTTTTCAAGATATATAGTGTACCCAAACGGTGTATTCATTTATACCCTAACATATTGCACTTAGGATCTATTGTATCCAAACGTGTTACGGTCGAATATAAGAAATTATATATTATTGATTATTTATCTAGATAATCTCAACATTGATTATAAGCGTACTTATACTTGTATGTACATTGATAATGTACAATTTAATATTTTTAAAAAAAGAACTGGACCAAATTTAAGTTTTGTTTTAACTGATTATTTTTAAATATTAACAAAACATTGACAAATTTTAAACAATAATATTACATTATTATTATTATTGTTATTAATAGTATAATATGATGTTAAGATAATACTGAAATTAATTTTTCTATAGAAATTAATAATATTAAATTAAGCGTTTATTAATATTTTAATAGAGATTATATTTGCAGTCACAAAATCACTTATTCACACACAGATAATCAACAAAAACCATATGAGAAGAACGAATTTGTTGACGATGAATGTATTAACAAAATTGTTTCAACCATAGGTAATCCTCCGTTTTCATAATACAATCCAATAATGATAAACAACGATATCGTATTTCGATATCGATATCGAAAATCTATATAAATTCGTTAAAATTTCTATTTTCTATAATATGAAAACTTCTTTTTTTTTTTTTAATATAAAAATGTCAAAAGAAAATCAGTACATTTTGAATTTATTATTGTACTGTTTTTAATTGTATAAATTATATCGTTTTATAATTTTTCGATATTGCCATACGATATCGATCTTTTTAAATATATCATTGTACAAAACTACAATCAAATATTATGTATGATTTTATTGTGAATAATATTTATGGGCTTATATGGTTTAAATAATAATAAATTAATGTTATTAATTGTTTTCGTAGAAACAAAGGATAAAAATGCACTTAGAAGTTTTTTGTTACTATTAAAAAGTGTTTACCCGAAAAAGCTTGAAGAATTCGATAAAATTATGACTTTGATGGATTACATAAATTCACAATTACCTATGTAGTCGGAGTAAATATTGTAACATCACTTATGAAAAATACAAGTATACGTTTTATGGAGATCATCCTTCAACATTTTGTATAATATTATTTTACGAACGCATGAACGATCACGATATTGACTTGTTATAGAACCAAAAATGTCATTACACGAATATTTGTATTGTATTAATTTAGAAAAGAAGCTTTTATTTATGTTATAATATCACACATTTTTTCAATTAAATAATTAAAACATGAACTATAACACATAATATAATTATTAATCAAAAATTATTTAATGACTTTTTTATTAAGGAATTAATAATTTATGCAAAGTGGCAAATGGTAAATTGAGTTTTAATTATTATTCTCAGTATGAAAAATTACGTAATATTGGATATTATTGTGAACTTATTAATTGTAATATACAGATTTTAAATAAAGCAAAATTATTATTGATCAAGGTGATTGAAAAAATACCAAATTTGAGCTAAGCGTAGCTTTGGGAGGAGATATTGCACAACATAACTGGACAGTGACACAAAGAGAGTTGAACCAGTACTGCATGTGCTATTGAAAGGGAAAGGTGTTAAGATCAACGGGTGCCATAGAGAGCTGAAAAAATGCAGTTACAGTTACCAACTAGTTATTTCGAACTTGTATAATTCTTATGTATTGGAGTTTACAGATTAGGTATATTTTTTAGTTGCTAATACAAGTATAAGATCTTTGAAAATAAAGAACTAACCGATCGGTTGTTTGAAGTGTAGTCGTTTTTACAAACCAATATGTTAATGTAATACACATTTGCACGTCGTTTTTCGCTTAGAGCTAAATTGTAGTAGATTCAACTACAAATTATTGTTAAAATATTGAATTTATTGTAAATGCTTGATTTGTACACTCAAACTCTAGATACAACAACATCAGTATTGAAAATAACTATGTAACTAATCATATTGTATGTAGCTAAATCTCTGATATTCAGTTTTGAAATTGAAAAAAAAATTAGACAAAATTCCAATAAATAATCTATTTAATTTTTTTCTGAAATACTGCACCCTTTTAAATGAGTCATTGCCATGTTTTTTAAAAATAAAACTATATCAATAGAAAATAAATCTAATACTTCATCTACTATTTTCTGCATTAGTGTCTTAGTTATGGTTGGTTTTTTATATAAATTGATGACAAATGGAAATACATTTTTAGTAATAATATTTTGATAAGATGTATTTGAATTATTTATCGGCGTCGAGAAAGTAGCACCCCTTCGCCCAATGTATCCAGAGTACATTGAAATAGTTCTACCCTGACATTTAGTGGTTGGGGTAGCCTGGCCTTCCAGGTTGGGGGTTAAGCGCAGGGCTAACAACCCTGCCTTGTAAAAAAAAACCATATGTTTAGCACTCAAACACTAAGTCTCGGACTCGAAAAATGGAAAAATGACTTGAAACCGGTAATTGGAAATGTTTTATGGTACATAGAACCTTAGAACCCTGTACAAACCCAGAGCGGCTTTAGATCTAGTAAAAGAAACAGAAAAATATAAAATGAAATGCGTAGCCTTACAAGAAGTTAGATAGGAAGATGTCGGAATAACTAAGATACCACAAATAACTATATATTTAATGTGTCAAAACGGACACAGTTTAGGGACGGGATTTGCTGTACACGAATCGATTATTCTTGCAGTATAAGACGTTAAAGATATAAAGCCAAAACTATCAACTTTAACTCTAAAAACAGATTATGTCGATATTACAGTAATGAATGTACATTCACCCACGAAAGAAAAGAACGAAGGGGAAAAATAATTTTTCTTTGCCACACTAGACAATGTGTTTGACTCCTCCGAGGGAAGCTTTAGAATAATGTTGGGAAATTTTAACGCAAAATTAGGCCAAGATGTAGAGTATAGAAATTATATTGGTACCCATAGCCTACATACAATCACCAATGATAATGGAACAAACAGTGCGCGTAGATTGCGGTCAAAGGGATATTTTCGTACATCGTCGCGATTCACTTCAAAAATTAAATCATTATTCCTCGACGCCCGAGTAACGATCAACTCTCGTATTAAACATTTAAAATGTATCCAAATTAATAATAGCACTTTTGAGCGTGGCCAATGGAAATGAGTAAACGGTGCTGCGTACATATGTACGGTTCATCCGTCGTAATATTACCGGGGGAAAAAAAATAAAATATTTAACCCTTAACTACACGCGCTGGTGTACTTTGTACACCAATATTTTTGTTTATCTTGTTCTATTTTGGTTTTTATTTGTTTACAGTTATTCTCCTCATCTAACCTTTTCTTATTTAATATGTAATAGTTATTAATCCATTTCAGTCGTCATTTGATGTTTGTAGTCGCACAAACAAGCTCCGACTTAAAATATTTTTGTATTGATGAACGAAATACACCGCGCGTGTAATAATGTAAGTAATTTTTACGTCTTATATTGACTGATAATTCCGTTTATTTTTCTAATATCTAATAATTATATAATAATTATATTATTTAATCATATTATAATTATTATTATAGGTCAAAGCTTACACCAAATGATGTGAATGATATATTAGATATGGAAACGTAAAAATTATTTGACAATAAGATATTTTTAATTTTATCAATTATAATATAGTAATAACATTTTTTTTAAAAAAAATTTTATAATTAAATTTAAAACAATATTAAGTAGTACTTTGTTCTTTTATTAGTAAATGAAGTCAAATATACATGCAATACGACATTGATTTCTGTGTAAAACAAATTGGTGTATAAAATACACCGCGCGTGTAATAATTGAAAAAAAAAATGGCGCGTGTAGCTAAGGTTTAAATACAAAAATATTGTTTCCAGAGATATGGGATACTACTGTTTTGTTTCCGGATCATGCGAACTCCGTTCTAAGTATCAAAACAAAACGAGGAGCACGGAGAAGGTATGGGTGTGGGGTAGTGACTTCGCTTTGTTGAACACAAGCACAGTAAAATAAAGATTACGAACGTGGAATTAATAATAATGATAACATACGGCACGATAATAGGCGTGGAATCTCGTTTTTTTGTGATAAAATTAAAAATTAAAAACCTACAAGGATAATGTCATTTGAAAGTTAATTTAAAAAAAAAATAAAAAAATAAAAACATGCATGAGAAAAATGGACGAGCGCGTGCGGCATAAGTTCTACGAACTGATATTTCACACCCGAGGCCAGGCGATAGACATTAAGGCGACGGATTCTTGTAATTTCTTATGAAGTTTGTAGCAGCGCGTGTATGTGCAGTTTTAACAATAGGTATTATTGCTGTAATGCTTATGAAAATGGCAAAAATAAATAAAACAATAGGTTTTTCGACGTAGTTTTACGGAATATTATAATTCCTATTATTATTATTATTATATTCATTATTACTATCGTACTAACGCGTACTTAACCGCCGCGAAATTGACGAAACGTGCAGAGGCCTACAGTTGTAACACATTGCCACATTGGCCACGACAGAAGAAATTAAATTACGTAAATTCGATTGGGTAAATATAAATGCAATATTCCGTCACAAGAATTTTGAATTTCTGAAACCGATTACCAGACCATTGCAGTAATACTATATGCATATGAAATATATGCAATTAGTGTATGTTTAGTTGACACGATGTAATATCGTAGCTGTGAAATGGAATCAAAAAAAAAAAAAATTTTAATCGCATACATCGAATCGAACATGAGCGACGATCTAAATGAATCGATGATCGCAGAAACATAACTAGTCACATGCATTTATATGCTCAAAAATGTCAAATATGCAAAATAAGTTTGCATATTTGCAATCGAGATTTCATGAATCAAATTGGTATCATAATAGGGTATAATTTTGGTTGCGCGAAAAAATACGCCAAGTCATAAACATCCGAGAAGCTCTAGTAATAACAAATCGCTTTATACATGACAAACAATTAAAATAAAAAAATTAAGACACTTTAATTGAAATTATTATGAAATTGGATCTTATTCATCTCGATCTTCATAGCATTGAGATACCATATACATGCTCAAATTGTCAAAGTTCAATTATCTACGTTCTAGTCCAATACACAGATTTGTATCGACTAAAGGAGCGCTCAACTTCAACAGAGGTTATGGGTGCAAATTTCATATTTCCAATGTTCAAAGGAGTAAGCTCTACCTGCAATAATACCCCATTCATTCCGCAATGTATATCTTTAATTAATTTTAGGCAGTTTAAACCAGGATTTTTGTTTAATTTATAATGATCCGAAAATTCTATTAATCTTATTTTTACACATTTTTCGAGTAGTATAGGTATTGTTAACGTTAACTTTATTGGTCATAACTATAGTTGGTACAGTTTTTAATGCTGGAGTGTTTTTTAGTAGCGGTATAACAATTGATTTTTTTATAACTCATTGGAAATTCTCCCTCAGATAAACATTTATTGAATAGAATAGATAACGGTATTGTTTTGTCTATGTTTGTAATAATAGAACACGTATTGTGATTGCTACATTACATTATTTTTAAAACTTCATAAAAAACATGAATATTTGGATGGGGTGAATAAAAATATTTCCGAAACGCTGAGTGGAATGCTTCACAGGCATTTGTTGTTCTTTCACCTGATAATTACACGATAATCAAAGAAAGAGGGAAAAGTTGCATTTTCATCAATAAATGTATCAATGAGGTAATCGCAAAATGTATTAAGACGAATATCGATCGGCGCAATAAATGGGAGTTGGTAAATTGGGTCCCGGGAAAAGAAAAGTAGAAGGTAAGTTGGATCCCGGGGAAAAAAAAGGTAGTAGGTAAGTTGGGTCCCAAGAAAAAAAGGTAGTAGGTTAAGTCCATGGTAAATAATTTTTTTTTAAATATCTAATAATTTTTATTAGAAGTCAATTTTAATATTACGTTTTTTATTACATTATCGGTAAAAACTTAAAAGATACGAATTTAACAAATTAAAATCGACGTACTGTACGCAATGCACGCTACTAAAAATATAGTGAAAATGTTCAGATTTCGTACACTCGTGTCTGTGTGTAATCATAAGAACTATCATCAATATTGGTGTTAACTGATTACTGACACACGATATACAACAAACTAATATTCGTATATGCCTATATACGTATCTTAATTAGACATAATCAAACACATTACGAAGCTATTTGATAACAATGGAATCGATAACCGATAGAAACAGTGTGAATTGTCATTTGTTAAACGACTACGGCGAGGTAGTATAGTTAGTAGTTGGGACTCAATTTACCTACTAACTTTTTTTCCCCGGGACCCAACTTACCTAATATCTTTTTTTCCCGGGACTCAATTTACCGCTTTCAAAATGTACAAAAAATATCGCGGACTCAATTTACCTAACCCCCAATATCTAATGTCTAATAATTATACCCTTTTTATATCGACGCAATAAATGTATAACTTTTTTCCATCCCATAATTTTTCGGCGCAATTGATATAAAGCCATCTATTAATTAAAAAATTGTATATATCAAAATAAAAAAAAAAGAATCATTCAATATGATGGTTTAAGTTTAGGGATTTCAAAATCTCGTAACCCTACTTATTACTATTATCCAGTTCGAAGACTAAAAAGAAAAAGGACGAACTTTCCTACCATTATTTAAATAGTAAATTTATATATTTGTACTATAAAAACTGTTTTTCTATATATAATGAGTAATGAGTATTTGAATGTAAATTAACATGAACACATATGGGAGTGCTTATTTCGAAAATGAGGGTGCTAAGCACACCTAAGCCCCACTCCAAATTGCGCCTATGGATTTAATGGAACAAAATATAACAGAAAAAAAAACCATTACCAAAATTAGTGAACTATTTATCTAAGCCCAACGAGTTTAAAAAGATTACAATTTTACTTGCTTGTTTTATAGCTGCGAAACCTCACAGCGCTAACGTTAAACAAAAAATAAGTAAAAGCAATATTCTTAACCCTTAGCTACATGCGCCATTTTTTTTTTCAATTATTACACGCGCGGTGTATTTTATACACCAATTTGTTTTACACGGAAATCAATGTCGTATTGCATGTATATTTGACTTCATTTACTAATAAAAAAACAAAGTACTATTTAATATTGTTTTAAATTTAATTATAAAATTTTTTTTAAAAAAAATGTTGTTATTACTATATTATAATTGATAAAATTAAAAATATCTTATTGTCAAATAATTTTTACGTTTCCATATCTAATATGTCATTCACATTATTTGGTGTAAGTTTTGACCTATAATAATAATTATAATATGATTAAATAATATAATTATTATATAATTATTAAATATTAGAAAAATAAACGGAATTATCAGTCAATATAAGACGTAAAAATTACTTACATTATTACACGCGCGGTGTATTTCGTTCACCAATACAAAAATATTTTAAGACGGAGCTTGTTTGTGCGACTACAAACATCAAATGACGACTGAAATGGAGTAATAACTATTACATATTAGATAAGAAAAGGTTAGATGAGGAGAATAACTGTAAACAAATAAAAACCAAAATAGAACAAGATAAACGAAAATATTGGTGTACAAAGTACACCAGCGCGTGTAGTTAAGGGTTAAATCAATAAACTGTCAAAGTTTGTAAGTAGAAACGAAAAATGAATATAATTTTAATAATTTTAACATAACTGTTCTTCAAAATAAAAATTTACAAATATTACTGAATTACAAATATAGTTAAATCAAAATAACCGCCGCATCAAAGATACACCTAAAGACATAAAACAAGAATTGTTTAATAGAATTCTTATGGATGCAATAAAAATAAAATCTAAAAATGAAGAAAATTTAAATAAAATAAAGTTTACAAAATAACGTTCTAACATCGTGTTATGTATTATACATATAAGCATAATGAAAAAAAATTGAGGGTATTAATTAAAATAAAATATTTTAAACAAGAATGTTTATTATTTTATTTCTTCTTAATAGAGTACATTTTAAATTATTCCTAAATGCTGAAAATGTTATTATTTGTAATTATAATTTGATATTTTATTTCATGATCATAGTTTTATTTTGATAGGCTTTTTTAAAAAAAAAAATGCATAGTTGAAAAAAATCCTTAGAATAAGTCCTGATCTACCTCATATAAGCCGGTCAAGTAAAATAACGTAATTTTTTTTTGTTTCAAAAAAATAGTATAATATGATTATAGTCATTAGTTATTGTTCTGATAACTTATTCGGTTGCATGGAGGTAAAATATTATTACAAGAAAACAAAAAAATGTACAAAATTTTTGATTTTATTTAACGTTTACTTCGTTGACCGCATAAAAATCTCTCTAACTCCAGGCAAAGGGAAACTACATACTCTTGTTCATAATACGCGCGAAATCGAATCACATTATAATTATATTATATTTGATTTTATTATGAAAATTAAATTAATGAAATGCACTGAGAGTCTTTTGGTTCAGATGTCGATGTCAATAGTTGATCGGCAATCAGCAGACTTCGCCGATTGTAAAACTAACAGCATCCCGCTCCGATGCCTTCTGACTACTTTTACGTACCATTTAATGACCGAAATCGGGAATACTCACACGTGCTCTAACGTCATACTGAGTATTGTTGATAGTCGACGGAAGGGATTTGAAAAACTTCCTATATAAACGTCAGTCCATCCTTAACACTTAACCATTCCAACGCAGACGCTACATAACAAAATAAATTCTTACGAAGTCAACAAACACGCTTACAACATGAACCGTAACACAGCTCTGTTTTTCTTTGTCGTCGTCGTCGTAGGTAAGTTACCGTATTAACCGTTGTATGCAGTAATTTTAAAATAATAAAATAATAATAATAAAAATTATAATTCAACCAATATTTTATAAATTTAAATTGATGAGTATAGCGTACACTTTATATACTACGTCACTTGTATTCGACTAAATTATTTTGTTTTCTTTATATAAGTTTTTCATTTAAATTTTTTCACTTGATTTTAATGTTTTAATTAATAATAATTGTAACTAATGTGAAATAAATTTTTTTCTTCCATAAATACAAGTACAAAGTTATAATAGATAAAAACAATCTAAATATTTTCTTACATTTTTTTTCTATATTATTGATAATGATATATAGTTAATAAGTTTATAAGTAATAAAAGTTTATCAGAAGAAATATTTTACATATTTATTATTTTTAAATCGGTCTAAATAATCCTATTTTATTTAAAGTTAATGTGAATAATTTCATATTAAAAAAAAAAAAAAAAAAAACATTTAATTACTTATAAACAATATATTCGTAGTGCACTGATCATGTATAATGAATAATATTTTACTTTTAATTCGCATTTAAAAATTGTATTCATTCAACATTTATAATTTTATATTAAAAAATGTGGATAAACGTTACTTAATATAATTGCGTGGTACATATATTATAACATAACAGTTTATAGTAAAATTCGAAAAATGTATAAATCAATAATATTTAAATAAATAATATTAAAAAAGGAAAATAGACTCACCTATTATAAATCATAATATATGCCAAAAATCAATTACTATATTTAAAATCCTTAGTGTTTCATTCATTCATTACTCAACACATATTGAACCTCATGGCTAGGCCCGCTATTTCTATTTCACAAAAATCTGAGAAACCTAATTTTATATTTATGTTTCAGTCTTGTTGGCCGTTGCTACTGAAAGCAACGCCGAATGCAGATGGCTCGACTGTCATGCACATTCTGCAGGAGACTGGTGCAACATTTTGGGACCCGGCTGGAAAATGGTAGAATGGCGCCGGTGCAACGGATTGTTGGGAAAATCTGAAAAATGCTGCAATTAATGCAACCTCTTTTCTTTTTCTTTTTTTTTTGTTTCATTTGACTTTGTTTGTAACAAAGTAATTAATATTTTTTGAACGAATATACTTATAGTTTAGACAAATATATAAATATTACTAACACGCAATTACCAAGTGTATTTTTATGTCCCTCACATTTACTCAAAATGTTTTGTTTCACTTTTTACCTAAGAACAGAATTGTGTGATTTCGATCTTATATAGTTCGATAAATCGTCTAAAGAAAAAAATATTACATTTCATCAAAATGGCAAATCGTGTGATGTATTACAAAAGTAATCATGTTGAGCTATATGCATTGAAAATAATATTATACTCTTATTTTTATAAAGACTGCATGATTACGAATATTCCCGCCTGAGCACGACCTGTATTGTAGACTTCTGAGTTCATATTATTAACCACCGTGATATGAATTCAACATCATTACATAAATTGAACACAGCCATGGTTAGATTCTAGAATTCGAAAATAGAAGAAGAGATCTTGTCGAATAACAACACAAATAGTTCTTATATTAAAATTGTACCTTCAGTCTGAATCCTAAATAAAAAAACAATTAATAATCATAGTAGTAATAGTATCTAAAATTATTTTTTAAAAACTTTAAAAAAAAATTAAGATAGGTAACTTAATTTAACAAATTGGTATCTAAGTCGAAAACATAAGGTTGGTAAGTAGTCAAATAACAAATTCCAAATTTCTTTTTTTCATTTTGGCAAATTTGTTGATTGTTTCATCAATGGATAAAATAATATGCCGGCCAATTTTGATCTCAACCATGTTTTCAATTTACAAAAATATATTTTTGGCCAATATTTGCAAGTTAAAGAATATGGAAACAAATATTATCAGTTATTATGATTATTATTTGGCTTAGGGGCTTCTAGCTCTATAAAATACATAAATATGCATGCATTTGTGCACAAAAAAATGACTAAATACCTATGCACAATAAAAAATACCAGATATTATGTTGTAAAAAAACCACAGGAAGATGGTATGGTGTTAAGTTTTCTATTATTCATTATATTATATTAAAATTAGAGTTTTATTTTTCAAATGAAATTTGTACTTGATGTTTAACTTACAATGAAGATATAACTCAAATGCTGATTGAAGAAATTAAAGAACCTAATACAATTGTAGATTGGTTTTCTGATGAAAATTTGTTTCTTGAAAGATCAAGTCTAGATTTTATTAGTATTACTACCGATACCTCTGGTTACCATTTAACTCTATTAATTTCTTACATTTAATTAATCAACACATATTTATCACATAATTTTATAATTTTTTAAATATTTAGAAAGAGGCATGATAACAGAAAACACACCAAATTAAGTTCATGCAACTAAGTCTGAAGGGGTACACTATCGATATAGCCAGTATATGACTAGAGAAAAGTTATGCATATGTTATAATAAGGAATAAAAGCTAACTATTTTTAAAAATATTGTAGCTTTATAATGTTCTTTATTTAAAGTTTGAAAAAACTTTATATTGTAGTAATGGACAATCATAACACTACAATATTTGGTGTAAATTAGGTGTTACCCCTGATCTTAAAAATAATAATTATAACATTTAACATAGTATTTTAATACTTTCGATAGTCTGGTATAGATGTACAAGTCACAGTAAGCTTTATTTTGTATTTGATTATGCCCCTCTGGTTATTTTTTCAAGTCATATACTGTTTGTAGCTAGTATGAGTCAATAATATTTTTTCTAATATAGTTTGTAAGTAAAATGGTGGCTGGCAATCATTTCAAAATGTCAGATGCGAGTCCAATTTTTAAGTAATTGTATTTTTAATAAACTTAATATAAATCATGAGATCACAACTTGCGAGCCACTAGTTGCTTATCAAAACAGTTGTAATAATATTATTTTAATAATTACTTTTATTTTATAAATGACATATTGTAGTATCCACAATCAAAATTTTATACTACTACAATATTAGACAATTACTCTGATGGAAAGTGATTCTCAAGTATTATGATGCATTTTGCCTGCCTTATTTATAATTTAGGACTTTAATTTTTAATGTTAAATATTCTATCCGATAGTGTGTGATCCCTGTGCGTTATTGCACCAGACCAGACCGACCGCAGGGGCTCCCCCCCCCCAAAAATTAACTTTTTTCTCCTCGTTCCATTTGTAAAAATAACGTGTTCATTTCCCTACTTTTGCCCCGCCTTAACGTTAACTACGTCGCTGCCGCCAACATCTTCTTAGAGCACATAAGTTAGGTTGCCGGTTTTTCCATTCACGGGGCAACAGTGATAAGTTACCTATCCTGCATTATTTACGGCGAAAATTATGTTATCGACTCTGTTAAATCAAGGCGTCCCCTTTTTGAATTAATTTCAACTCTCGTTTCGTTATAATTGCGACTAACTGTTATGCCCATACATGTATCTTCCACGTTTTCAATACTTTTTAAAACAGTCACATATCTTCTCAAATGATTTAATTTCTATTGGCCTTACAACTGAAGACTTCCGTACTATTAGCTTGAAAATAGCTCATTCCTGATATTATGGAGTTAAAAGATCCGAAGATTGAGCTGTACACGGCAACCAATTTGGTTCTTGTTTTCTAACACTATCACACACTGATGATAACGAACTGGTTGCGTCAATCGGTAAATATAACTATACTACTATGAATTTACACATAATACTATAATAGTAAATATACTATTATACGTACGGTTTAAGTCACCGATAAGAATGTAATAATAAAAATAATTATAGTTCAAATTAAAATCCAAAAATACAACTGAAAAGTATTGATTCTTATATTATTCTAATAAATAATGTCATACAAAAATAAAAATAAAAACTATTTTTTTTTTATGAAATAAATTTCAAATATTATAAATTAACAGTAAGTAAGCCAAAAATCAGGATAAATATGGGATAGAATTGAAATTGCAGGACAAAAAGTGTCCTGGAAGAAGTTTGTCAGAAAAACAGGATACAAAGCCGAAATAAAGAATAATTCTGCATAAAACAGAACGTATGGTCACCCTAGAGAAACCAACTATGCTATAATATCTCACTACACTCCTGTAAAATTTACCTTTCAGCCTCATTAGAATTCTCTTTCACATAAATCGCTTGACGCTTCTCTCCATTTCATCCAATCACACTTAATCCTATGTTATACATCCATATTTAAGCCCCCGTTCTTTTGTATAAATGACCCTAAATACTTAAAGTTCTTGACTTTACATACCACATCACCGCTTATTGTTATTGATGTCCTCATTCGCTCAATTTCTTTATATCCTCTTCCAAAGTCATACTCTATAATACTAATAACAAAAATACTATGTGCTACCTAAAAAATGTGTATGCCCATTTACATTGAGCACATGTATACATATATAGATTAACACAAGTATATTTGAGGCGTTGAGTGCAAAAGTAGCCTAACGATTTAACCATCATTCTGAGAAAATTGGCTTTAATGATTTTGCTAATTTAGTTTCAATGTGTACAATTTTATTTTATTATTTTTTTTTTTTTGTGGGGAGGTTCTTATTGAAATTCACTGTAGATTACATTAGCATTTTTGAAATCAAAAAAAGTCAAAATTTCCTAAGTTAATGTTGAATAGGTCACTTTTGGATTTTTCTTATAACTACTTTATAATTATAAAATGTGGTTTAGGTCAAATTTGTAAAAAAGAATCAACCATGTCTTGTCAACTAAATCCTTTTAATCAACATTTTATACAATTTCAAAATAACAATATAGGTAGTTAAAATTCAGACTTATGAAATATTTAAACCACATATTTTTTATCAAATTTTAAACAATAACAATAAATTAAAAATTCAGACTTATGAATTTCTCAGAAATATAAATATATAACTTAATAATTATTATTATCATACCTTGAATAATTATAAAAACAGCATATTATTATAAAACATTATAAACAATAACAATAAATTAATTCAGATATATGAATTGTTTGAAAATAAAATAAAATACAATATAATATTATTATTATTTCTTAAAATATTACAAAATTAATAATTAGTGAAAACAAAATAAATAATATTTATTTATTTTTTTTGTTTAATATTTTTATAAAAATCATGATGTATAGGTGGTATAAATTGCATTAGTTCAATGAGATCTTTGTATTTTTCTTTTTGAATAGGATGACTATTAGAGTAAAGGTTTTGAAGTTCTTTTGGCTTAGCCATTACACGTTTCGACAAATGCACACAAAATAATGTAACAAATTCATTATTAGAGTATTTGTAAAACATATGATAGGGTTTATCATTTGTAGATCCATTGAAATTTTAACCATTCAACTTTCTCTCCGTCACTATTGAGTTTTCTATTAGTGATATCTTTTTCAAGAAGTACAGTGAAAAAAAAATCTTTTTAAGTCATTTTTACAACTTTGAAGGGGTTTTTTTTCAAGCCTTTAAAATGACTGTAATCCAATCATTTGGAATGTAAACTTCAGGATGATACTTCTTCTGTTTTTCAATAACCCTAAAATCTCTATCACATGGTAAGAAGGAGTGTCCAGACACTAAAATTTTATGATGTATTTGTGTTAGAGACAAGTGGTCAGAACATACAATAAAATTGCAGATTAAAGCCATTTTAATGTTGCGATTCTGTCCACTTCATTAGTCACTGTACATTATAAGTTTTTCTGTGTTTACATAATTCTTTACAAAGTGTAAAATACAAGACCCAATTTTCTGTGGCCCTCTTGAGGCTATGGACTCATCCCATACATACATATACGCATCATTTGTACTTAGGTAGTGTATACCTAAATAATTTAGGTATAGTATATTTAGTATAATTATTATACTTCCATAATTGCCTCTTGTAATAAGTTATACCAACAGATAAGGATGGAGTTGCAAGAGTCTTCATGAGGTCGAATGCAATAACATTAGTTACCATAGTGACCTATTTTGCGATAATGTAAATAGGCCAATAATGCATTATAATAAAAACAAATATGACTGGATGCAACAACAGAATAGTGCTGCTATCTAGAAGG